CACTGTACTTATAGGTAAGGTCTTCACTACTTGTACTTGTGAAAGGTGTTATGAGATCTTTAATAAGTATATTGGTGGTAACCCTGAAGTTCTGGCAAAATTCCTGTTTGGTATTTGTGTTTTATCTACTGTAAGTGCTCTCTGCAGATTCAGCTGCTTAGTTTGGTTTGTTGTTGTTGTTGTTTATTTCTAAAACTACAGTGTAGTGTTCTTACTGTACTGTTAAACAGCTGATATCAACTCATCATAGTGGTCTGTCTGTCAGTGATGGGTGAAAAGATTTCAGTATATTTAAAGTTAGTAAATCACTTTGGGATTGTCTAGGAAGAGAGGTGTTAAATGTAAGAGACTGCATGTTTAACAGTGAAATCTTACACATTTGTAGCTTGGTTGTAATCTGAACCATATGTCTTTGCACATCTGGTAAGCTTTGTTGAAGGGAGGGGGGTCTACTTCTATGAAAATGAGTACAGTAGATTGTTTTTTAAGATGAGGGGAATGCTTCCCAACATATACTGCATCTCCAGTTAGAACCTAGCCCTTTCTTTCTACTTTCGAGGTTTAAAAAGATGTTGATAAACAAAACGCCCATGGGAGGAAAGTATAAGTTTGTGATTAAGGCACTGGATCAGGATTCATGAGTACCCACTCTTGCCAAAGACTGACTGTGCGCCTTTGGTAAATTGCTTAATCTCTCTGACTCCATTCCCCCGTGTAAGAAAGGAGACAGAACTACATCCTTTCTTCCCTTTTTCTGCCTTCTCTCTTTATAGTGTAAACTCTCTTGTGCACAGACTGTCTCTTACAATGTGTTTTGCTATGGCGCCCAGCGTAATAAATAAGTCTTTGTATATTGCTTGCATGACACATCCCCAAATCTCAGCACTTCCTTGAACCCTGCATAGGGATGTTACAATTAGATTAATCACTTAATCAAATAGTTGATGGATTTTCCATGGACTAATTGATAAGGGCGCGTCTGCATTTCAAAGATTGAAATGCCACATGGAGCCTGGGACCAACAGGGGCTCTTGTGTATTTCAAAGATTGAAACACTGCATGGAGCCCAGGGCCAGTGGGGAGTCCTCCACTGACCTCAGGCTCCATGCGGCACTTTAATTTTGAAATATACAAGAGCCCCAGGAGGAGCGCTGTGCATTTCAGAGACTGAAACGCAGCATGGAGCCTGGGACCAGTGGGGGACTCAGAGTCCCTTGCTGGTCCCAGGCTCCATGTGGCGCTTCCACTTTGAAATGTACAAGAGCCCCAGTAGGGACTCTTGTACATTTCAAAGGTGGAACTCCACTGCTGCGCCCCTGCCCCCTCCCACAGAGCTGGGGGGAACCGGCTTTTAAGCCCCCAAAATTTTTCTCTCCCCTCTCTCCCCCTTGCTCCCTCTTTTTGAGGCATCAAGTGGGGAGGGGGAAACGACTAGTTGACTAGTGTGTCAACTATCTGATAAACTTTTGCTTATCAGATAGTCGATTAGTTGCTTACACCCCTAACTCTGTAAATAGTATTCGTTACAATACTGAATGTAATTCTGTTTACATGCTAATATGTGGGTGATGAATCCTCTCAGATTCTTGTTTATATCGGGACTGCCTGCTGAGATACTGCATTCATAAATTCTTCAGCAACTCTAGTGTCTATCCAAAAAGAAATAATCTAAATTCAGGAAATAATGTTGACCATTTCACAGGGATTATCCTTCAATGTTTTTTAGTTTTATAATATTTTCATTATCTATGAATACTGCCTCAACTGACAGAGAAGCAAAACTGGCCATTTAACAAAGCAATGCCATTCCTTCTCAAAATGCTGTGCTGTAGTATCAGACATTAGTCTGGATTCTGAGGAGACACTTTACCACAAAGTCTTTTGGATTAGAAAACAGTCCTGCCAATTGAGCCTTAACTAACTCATTTTGGAAAGATAAATTGTAAATTCAAGAATGAAAATAAAGCAGAACATGCAGCCAACAGAGGGACTGAAGCACCTGGTCTAACTTGTCCTTACGCTGGAAAAAATATTACTGAGTTTACAGCATTTCTCTCAAGGTGATTATTTGTGGAGTCAAAACTGTGTTGTTGTTGGTTACCTGCTCTGCTTTCTGGTCAATTGTCCTCCACTAGTCCAGATGCACTCTGGTGGCTAGCTTGGCCTAACCATTGCCCCATCTCTTTCACAAACAATAGCTTGGTGGGAGAATGGAGACAAATGCAGAGAGAAGGGTGAAGAGTCCGGTGAGAGAAAGGGGAGAGAAGCCTCATTGTGTTGAGTGCTATCATTGGTGCTTCAAATTCTTATTTTCCTGCTGGGAAGTGTGTGCTGTTTTGAGGTGAACCACTCAAAGGAATGTGCTAGCACTGCATTAGATTCAACTATAGGGAGCAATGTGTTCATTCTGGTAACAAATCTGACTAGGATTCGTGGGAGGGAGTATTGTGCATGGAACAGAAAGGAGAGTTGATAGGAATACGCAACAACACCCACTTGGGAAGCTGAACAGAAGTTTACTGTAATTACATTCACTGATGACTTGCTCTCTCTGGTGCCTCCTTAGCTTCTTCAGACAGGCTTTCCTTTCTGTTTAGAGCTCTTCTGACTCTTGACTTATCCTGAACCCAGTTTAGAATGTGCTTCTCTTTATGGAGGTTTCGCCAGACACTCTTTTTATTGACGTTTCACAAGACCTGAAGCTCTCCAGATATGTGGAAAGAGCCCATTCTTTTCTCCAAGAGCCACTTTCTTTTCTCCACCTGTTCTCATTCCAAAGTGACATTCCTTAACTACTGCACTGAACAGATCCCCCCGAAATTATATCTCTCATTTTAACTTGCTCTTCGGACAACGCTCACAGCTGAAGAGTGTTTTAGTTATGCACCTAAAATATATATATCATTATGCTTTGTATGAAAAACCAGTACCAAAATGAGTTTATTCTTCTATCACTACAAGAGCAGTATTTTAAAAAGGAAAAGGTTGAACCTCTTTTCCCACATTATCATAACCATTTCTTTGAGACCTCACTTCCTCCCCTTTCCCTCCAATATATTCTGCTGATTATACGTATTCTAATATGAATATGACCTATTCCATCAGATCTCAAAAGTGAAGCTGCTTCTTGGTATTCCTTACAGGGGTCTGACACAAAACTAGAAGTTACATAGGAATAGGTGGTGGCGGCGGCAACGTTTTTACTTACTGGATCTCTGCTGAGATAGTTGCCTAGCCTGGTCCTAGAACGGGGGGGGAGGGGGGGCACAATAAAACAGCGGCAGGATATCTCACCACCCCCTTCCCCCCCGCCCGCTGTATTTACCTGCACATTCACAGGTACCAATAATCACAGCTCCCGTTGCCATGAATCATCATTCCCAGCCATTTGCAACCTGGGACCCCAGTTTCCTCAGCTCCCATTGGCCAGGAACAGCAATCCGTGGCTAACGAGAGATGCAATTGACAGTACCTATGGCCATTCAGGTATATATAGCAGAAGCCTGTCAGGAGCTAACTCTGCTGGACTGGATCTGGCCCGTAGGCTGGTATTTTCCTCGGCCCTGTCCTAGAAAGTGCTCTTTGCAGGCTCAGTATTCTAGAGGGGATACAAAACTGGGTCCTAACCACTCAAATGCATTAATATTAGTGAAGCCCTTTGGGAATGTTGAGTTGTTTACTTCAAGCTGAGTAATTATACTCAGCTGCTTTTTCAAACGAGAGGGGTATGCTTCAGTAAACTTGTATTTAGTATTGCCAGCTACTGAAATGGGCATGTTTCGACCAGAGGTGGCTATATTCCAGTAGTGACTGAAGTGATCTATTTACATATCAGTTTATAAATCATTCTTAGGAGTCTTTAGGGTGAAAATTGCTAGACGAGAGATAGCTGTAAGACAACAGCTTTACCAACAAAAGTAACTCTTTAAAACATTTAGTAATGAAGGTATGCTACAGTCTTGGAAAAAACAGATTGTATTGTATCATGGCTCTTTTTTCCCTTGCTCCCATAACATTTCATCTGTGATAGTTGAATGTACGTTACAGATTTCCTTTCAGCATTTTCATAATTTAATGTGTTGTCCGCATAAGATGTCTGCTTTGCTTGAAAGCAAACAGGATCTCTGTTTCTTTTTCTTGTGTTTGGAGGTTGAGGAAAAATAACAGACATCATTTGTAACATTGAGACTGTAGCTTTATTTTTCCAAAAAGTGTGGTTGTGCATTTTAACGTTTAGCTTTCATGTAATTAGATATGTTTGATTAGACAAAGCATTTGCTGATTTAGAGTCCAGTCCTGCAGCTGTCAAATGCACATAAAAATTCCAAAATATGTTATGTTACTAAACAGAGTTATTGACCATGGTAGGGAGATTATAAGATGATTCAGTACAGGTTAAACCTCTAAAATCCAGGATTCTCTGGTCTGGCAACATCCATGTCCCAGCAGGACCATGGATATTGCTGGGCTAGAGAGCCCCACCTGGCCAGGTTCAGGGGCTGGGTTGGTGGCAGGAGAGCACAGCCCCAGTTGGGCTGAGATCAGTAGGGCCTGGGGCCCTCAGCGTGATAGGGAGCACAGCCATGTCCCCAAGCAGGATCACAACCCCAGCAGAGCTGGGGGCAGTGGGGCCAGTGGGTAAGCGGGGCCAACAACCAGAAGGGTAATTCTACATGCCTAGATGTGAAAATCAAATCCAAAGTGCACTACTTAAATGTTGATAAGATCACTCTGAAGTACGTTGGGATCATAAGTTACAACTGCTGCTTGTAAACTCTTATACACCTTTAAGAATATTGTAGGGTAATTTGAATATACACACTTAATGAAAAGCAGACCATAACACAAGTAATTTGCTGGGTTATTAGTGATCTGCTCAGTTTTAACAATTTCATGAAAGTTTATTGCTTGTTGATGTGTTTTGTTTGTTTCCCTAACATCATTTGTTTCTGTCTAATAAATCTGGCTGATCTGCATTTGTTTGTTGTGATTACTTACAGATCTGCCATTAAAGCCTTGTGTCCTGGAGGATCTGTGGTCTATTCTACGTGCACTCTCTCAAAGGCAGAAAACAGTGATGTAATCAGTCACATCCTCAACTCCTGCAGTAACGTTCTACCTGTAGACATAAGTGAACTTGCCAGTGTTGTTTCCGATGAGTTCTCTCTGCTTGCTGGTGTCCAGCCACATGAAATTCTAGTGCTTCCATCAAGGGGCAGAGCCTGGGGGCCTATGTATGTAGCTAAATTAAAGAAAATGTAGACTAGATGGCATGTATTAGGCTTTTGTAAGCCTATTGAGAAATTCTTAATTTATTTTAATACTAGAGCTGTTGATTAGTGAGTGTTAACACCTGTGATTTACACAGGGTAGAATTAATGCGTTAAAAAAATTAACTTGTGTTAATCGCAGAGGTTGGCAAACCAGCATGAGCTGCTCCAGAGACCTTCTCTGGTAAGGCGCAGTAATACAAACTGCCACCAAGTGGCGTACGGGAAAAACAAAGCAGCCAGAAAGGAGGGGAAAAAAACTGAAGGTGCGGTTCCAGCTCCAACAGAGAAGTAAACAAGAAAAGTAAAAACCCTGACACTCGTCCCTCTCCCCTCCCAGATCACCATATTTTTTAAAAATAAAAGGGGGGGGGGCTTGCTCAAGTTGTCCCTCCCCCTCCCCGGCAGGGGTCACCCAAGCCACCCTCTCTTTGCCTTTTAGGGCTGGGACTGACCCTCCCCCCACATCTCAGTCTGGAGCTAAGTCCCCCCTCCCGATCTCTGCACTGCCCATGGTGGGGTCTACACCCTCCTCCCCAGCCCAGGGGCTGTCCCCTCCTCTGAACTTGGGGGCTGACCCCCACCCTGAGCCCTATGCCACTTACAATTGGGGGCTGAGCCCCCCGAACTCTTCACTGCCCACGGCAGAGTCTACCTCCCTCCAGGCCTGTGCCGCCCACAGCTGGGGCTGAGAGAAAAAAAGGACTCTTTTGAATAAGACACAAATATATTGATTGTATAGAAGAATTTAAGTTCAGCTTTCATGATAGAATTTGCACTACAATACTTCAGTGAGGTGAGCTGAAGTTTTCTTTTTACAGTATAAAAGTTTTGTAATAAAAATAAATATAAAGTGAGCACTATACTCTTTGTATTCTGTGTTGTCATTGAAATCAATATATTAAAAGATGTAGAAAACATCCAAAAATATTTAAATAGATAGTATTCTTATTATTGTCTTACAGTGTGATTAATCGCGATTAATATTTTAATAACTTGACAGCCCTATTTAATACATTTTGTGCATAGGCAATCTGTGCCAAATATTTGCCCATGTAGCCTGGATTTATAATAGAAGCTGTCAAATGATGATTACTTTTGAGATTTAATTTAGGAGTAGGACAATATCCAGAATGTCTCGAGCCTGCAGTTGGCTCTGCTAGCACAAACCTCTAGCGTCTGGACCCATGTGGAGCCTGTAGATAAATAAGTCTACTGAAGCAAATGTATTTCAGATCATGAGCTTCTGTAATATCTGCTGTATATGTTGTTTCATCCTGAAAATTCCAAGAAACTTAATCTTCTATCTAGCAGCATGGCAGAAATGCATCTGCTTTTGTGGTGGAGGGCAGCTGGTAACTTGCACAGACCTTCCTGTGCAATGAGAAAGAGAGGAAATGTTGTCTAAAAGCCATCAGACACCACATTCCCTATAAGTCAAAAGATAATGCCTGGAGATCTTCAGTGTCCACCTGAGATGGACAGAATTGTTGCTGTGGTCTCATCTGACAGACCTGCACGAAATAAAACTGCACAGCACTTACCTACTCTTTCACAAGAGGATGCGAAGTTACATCACATCTGCTGCGTTTGAA